TTAGGTTGGAAAAGGCCTTTAAGATGATCAAGTCCAACCATTAACCCAGCACTGCCAAGTCCACTGCTAACCCATGTCCCTCAGCACCACAGCTACACAGCTTTTAAATCCCTGCATGGACAGGGACTCCACCACTGCCCTGGGCACTCCGTTCCAGGCCCCGACAACCCTTCTGGTGAAGAATTTTTTCCTAATACCCAGACTAAATCTCCCCTGGTGCAACCTTCTTTCAAGGTGTTGTTGAGAGCAAGAGGGTCTCCCCTCAGCCTCCTTTACTCCAGGTTAAACAGCCCCAGTTCCCTCAGCCTCACCAGACTTGTTCTCTAGACAATTTACCACTTTGTCACTCTTCTTTGGACATGCTCCAGCATCTGAATGGCCTTCTTGTACTGAGGGGCTCAAACCTCATAGCAGGAAAGGAGTCCCAAAATGCAGAATCAGACAGCAATAAAGTACTTAATGGCTTACATTTTGGCTAAGGCAGCAATAGAATAAGTGTAGTTTTTCTCTCAAACATCCTTCCTCCTAGTCCTGGGGGCAGAACATCTGTGCACTCAAGCAGGCTTCCCTTGGATGCAGAAGGGCAGCTCCGACTTGGAGGATTCTTCTGTGCCATGGGCAATCGAGTTCTCTTAGTGGCAATTAATTTGTGGCAACAGGGAGGGAATGCTAACTTGCCATGGGACCATCTTCTAGTAGCAGCCAGGGCAAAACTTCCACAGCAAGTTGTCACATGCAGCTCAATGTTGGTACATACATATTGTCTTTACTTAAATTTTGCTGCCATCCATCTTGCCAGGGGTCCAGCTCTACTCTACCATATTAACCAAGACCATGAGGATGCAAAGTAAAAATCTGCAAACAGGCTTCACTACACAGCCAAAAGCACAACTCCTTTTATTGAAATGGCTCAGCTAATAAAATACCATATTAACTCATTTAATGTCTGACATGGTGCATAGCCTGCCAACTGCAGCCCAAGGGAAGCTGTTATGGTTCTTTCCTTATCACTTAGCATCACAGGAATAGAATAGGCTTTTTTCTAGTCAGCTTTTGTCTTCTTTCTACAACTGATAAATGGATCTCAACTTGGGTCAAAGGATAAATGCAACACTAAATCTGCCAAGCTTTCCAAAGGAGATGCTGAACGCCCCCCTGAACAGAGGCACACACGAGAAGCCCCTGATTAGTGTTAAGACTTCAATGACAATTCTCCTAATGAGGCATCGCCAAGCTCAGCTAAAATCTGTTGTGGTCAAAATCAGCATCAAAAGCCTTAATGAACTGAATTCCACAAGAAGTCTGAGACGGTGATACGGTGTGATGGTTTTTGTTAGATGCTGCTGCTGTGTATGCAAGATGATTTAACAAATATTGCCCAATATAATGCTCAAAAGCTCTTGGCTCTTTGAAGAAGATTAAAGTAAAACAATGCAATTAAAATCTACACATCAATGTGATTCATGCAGTCCAGTTACACTTGAGGTGCATTTGTGAAAAAAAAAAAAAAAACAATTATGCAGCAGACATACAGCATGTCTTTGACAGAACAACAGAGAACTCAGACATCTTGCTCCTATTTTTAATTTGTTAAGATAAAACAAAATTTGATTAATTGCTACAGACAAAGCTGTAGTCAGATTGGAAACGAGTCCTGGGGTAAGCGGAGTCACGACGTGAGCAGTGAGCAAAGACAGTAGGGTGGCAGTGGTGAAATGACCTTGCTGTGGCATCACTGTGAGACCCATGTGGTGGCCTTGTGAGTCTCTCACTCTTCTTTTGTGCATCTGCTTCTCTCTCCCTG